CTGCATTCGGCTTCAGTGAATTTGCTTTCAGAGTTTCAGCGCGTCTGCCCATTTCATGATGGTTGGTTTACAAGTACACCTACCCATACTGCACTGAGTGTTCTGCAGTTTTTGACCAAAAAATGGCATGAGCCCCATGCTCTGCCCTCCCTATTCACCTGATCTTGCCCTGAGTGACTTTTGTTGTTTTTGTTTTGTTTTGTTTGGATGAAAAATGTCCTTGGAAATGTTTAGCTAATCTGGAAGAGGTGAAACAAAATCCAGCAGAATCACTAAAAGGCATTAAAATCCACAAGTTTAGCAATTGTTTCGAGCGGTGAAAGAAGTGTTTTTTAGGTATATTGTATGAAATGGAGAGTAGTTTGAAGGCGACTGAAGTTTAAACATACAAGAATATACACAATGTTTTACATAAATTCCATTTTGGGGGGGTGCCCCCTTGGGTGAGAAGTCTCTGAGTTTCAGAGAAAGGGGTGAACCAGTAAGCACCATGTGGTTCTCTTCCTCCTGTAATCTGTATGCATATTACTGGTAACTGAGGCATAGAAGTGAACAGAGAAGTTCATGCCATTATTCTTAATTCATTAGTAAGTAGGTCATTTATGAGTAGTCTTTGAGTGGTTCAGTACTTACAAAACATTTGCTTCTTACCTTGCATGCTGGTTTAGAATTCTTAATAGCTAAATGCAAGGACTTCCACCTAATATAACATGATGGTTTTGTTGCATTAGAAGTTGTGATATCTACCTGGTCATTTTGATCTCCTTTTTCTGTGGAATCACTGGGCAATAGTAGTGACCATGTCATCAGTAGTGATTGATGTGACTGTTAGGGGACACAGAGTTGCTGCTACAGTTAAGGCTAGGAAAAGGAGCTCTTGAGCCCAGGGGATTTTGTGGCACCTCTTGATACTGCCATGTTCAATGGCAAGTTAGTTGAGATCTATTATATCCACCCTGCACAGGCAGGACCACCAAGGGCTTGGTGTAGCTCAGAAATCAATGTTTGAGTTTACCCACTTCTAGTACCATATTCTGTTTTCAGGAATGACACGTAGCTGCTGTCAGCAGGTTGGAAATAGGCTTAATGTTTTTATGGGTTTTTTGTCTCACTTTAAGTCAGGGGTAGGCTGTCCAGGGGCAGTGCTATAGCCTGTGTGGGTCCTCAGTTTGTTTCTTCTCTGCTCTCCACCCTTAGCACAGAATTTCCTTCTTAAGGTGACTGCACATTTTAAAATGGTGCTGGAGTTTAGGCCATCATGTATCCGTTTTGACCAGGATGCAGAAGAGGAGGACAAAAAAAGGGAATGCTTGCTGAGAGGAAAATGTGAATACACAGCCAGCCGTCTTGACTCCAAATTTCTTCAGGGGGTAAACGGATACTTTTAGAAAGCTTTTAGAGCTCCCAGAATAGCTTTATACTCTGACCTCTAAAACAAAAAGCTTTGTAACAACTAATTATTCTATTACAATATTGGCTAAGTTTTTCTTTAGCATTGTGTTTTGACTTAAACTTAGCTATTTTCATTTGTAGTTGGGTGGGATACATTCTTTGAATTTTTTTTTTTTAACGATTTCAAAGTCTAATTTATCCAAGGTAATTTTCATGTGAGTTATAATTTAATAATACACACCTTTTACAAGGTAGATTGCTTACTTTGTAGATATTAAGAAACCACAGAAATTATCATCTGTCATTTGCTATGGTTTTTTCCCATGGCCTTTTAAGGATTAATGGCTCTCTACTAACTTGTTTTTGCTAGTTCTTGATAAATTGTTTTAAAAAAAGAAGTTGCTTTATGAGGGTCTTTTTTGGTCAATTTTTGTGGACATGAGGTTTTAAAATTTTTTCTTAATGTGTTTCTTCTTTGATGTTAGTGGGTCTACTAAACCAAAAGTCTGTTTATCTTTCATTTACTAGTAGCATCTTTTAACAAAAACATTTATAAGTAAAAGTGGACTTTATAAAGATGTCAGAGTATGAGACTGTCATAACCGTTGATGTTAAGAATAATTTGCCTTTGAAAATAGCAATGAATTTGAAGTAGAACTTTAAAGGAAGCAATTTTTCTATTCCGTGAAAGTAGAAACAGCACTATTTATTTTTCATTTACAGACAAATAAGTCCACTGTGAGATTAGAACTGATCTGAAACAAAGAATAAATGTTAATTTAAATGTCTTTATAGTTTGGCATCAGTGGGGCTAAAGGAAGACAGCTTTATGAAGCACACTGAGCAAGAGTAGTCAGATTACCAGGAAATGACTTAGAATGTGGTATCAGGGAAGCAGATATTTAGAGCAGTTGTTCTAAACCTATCTTGAGTCCTAGACTATGGGGGATACTACAGAGTTTCTTCAGAATTGTCTGTTTTCAACTTCCTCCAGGTGTTGTTCACTGACACTGTCTTTCTGTGGGCGCTTCCCTCAGCACCACATGAGATTTCTGGTTGCCAAATGTCCTTGTGTCTCTTTGCAGCCAGCAGCTCCCCAACCATTTTTTTTTTTTGACTTCTCATGATAGATTAGTTTTGCCAGCTCTAGGACTGCCCTAAGTTCAGTCATAGAAAATGTACTCTTGTGTCACTAGACTCTTTGTGTAATGTCTAAGGCCACCAAGTAGCACATACAAGTGACATACTGAGGCTGAAGCAAATCCTTACTGCACTTGTCAATTTTTCAGTTTTTGGTGTGAGATTATCAGCTCACCAAAGTCTGTTGTACTAATTCAAGTTTTTTCCTAACTTGCACAAATTAATTGATTATTTAAATTACATTAATATAGTATTTACAAACTTGGCATTTTTATGTTTTGCTTTTTAAAGCTTTGGGATACTTATTTCGGTACTTTTTTGAATATATGTTTATTTCTGTTGATTCTTAGAATTGCAGTAGAAATGTTAATACTCACTACTTTTTGGTCTATAATGATATTTATTACTCTAAAAAATTACTGTCACTGTTAGTTGCTCAAAATAGTAAAAGACTTCAGAAATTCCATTAAATATTTATGGTGCCAAATTCAGTATGTTGACAGTCATTTGTGATTGTTCAGTATAAATTAACTCTGACCCTTTTATTGGTTATTTAGGATTCTATTTGCTTTGAGGTTTTTCATCTGTGTTGTGTTATAGGGCTGTTTCATAAATGTCCTCCAGATAAATGAGATAGTGTTAGTGAATATTAAGATATTGTTTACAAATCCTGTAACTACTACAGTCATTTCAATGGAGTAAGTAATTGAGGTTTTATTATATACTACTAAAATAACTTCTTTCCTGGTTTTTTTTATTGTGATATAATACATATAACATGAAATTTACCATATTAGCCATTTTAAACGTACAGTTCACCGGTATTAAATATTTTCATAATGTGCCATCACCACCGTCCATCTCCATAACTTTCTCATCTTGCAAAACCAAAACCCATTTCACAATAACTCTCCTTCCCCACCAACTGCCATCCCCTTTCTGCTTCTATGATTTTACTTCTCTAAGTATGTCATAAAAGGGAGATCATACAGTCTTTATCTTTTTGTGACTAGCTTATTTCACTTAACATAATGTCCTCAAGGTTTATCCACACTGTGGCATATGTCAGAATTTCCTTCTTTTCAAGGCTGTATAATATTTTGTTTTATGTGTATACCATATTATGCTTCTCTGTTTATCCATCAGTGGCTACATGGGTTGCATTCATGTTTTAGGGATTGTTAATAACTCAGCCATGCAAATAGGTGTACAAATAACTTTTTGAGATTGTTTTCAATTCTTTTCTTTTGGATGTATACCTAGAAGTGGAATTGCTGACTATATGTAATTTTATTTTTAATTTTTTGAGGAAGCATTATATTTTCCGCAGTGGCTGTACCATTTTATATACTTGCAGCAGTACCCAGGGTCCCAGCTTCCCTACATCTGTGCCAACACTTGTTGTTATTGTTTTTTGATAGTAGCCATCTTAATGGATATGAGGTAGTAACTGATGCTTTCTTTTACAAAGGAATGCAGTGATTGTCATTCTGTAATTGCCTTATATACTTATACTGTTAGTTTTCATCAAATTTTGAATATGCAAAAAAAGTGAATCTAAATTTTTTTAAAACCTTCTTAATTCCCAAAATGTTGTTAAAGCTATTTGTACTGTTAATTGTAATATATCTTCAACTGTTCAAATTGTAACTTAAGTTCTGTATTTATTTCAAATAAATATTTTGACTGACTACTGGTTGAAAATATATCAGATATAACACTGTTTTATAGCAGATAGATAGTAATTCCTGTCAGTTAACTTTGAATCCAATTTTGAATCTGCTAATCAAAAACAATCTTGAAGTGTTATTTGTACACTGGTATTTATAACTGCATTATTTGCAAACCTGCAATGTGGACACAATCAGTGTGTCTATCAGTGGATGAACAGAGAATCTAATTTTACTGTTTTACTGTTCTTCTAAGCTTTTCTCTATTTTGAATTGTGTTAGGTAAGTTACGTAATACTGCATATTTTTTAAACTTAGCATGAGAAAATTATTCATATCAAAAGGGCAGTATCATTTGTAGCTGTTTCTTTAACTTGCCAGAGTGGCAAATGTTGTGTCAACTGTACTAAAATTTAAGTTAGAATGAATGCAAGTTTATTTAAATGACAGGCTTCACAGGAAGTTCTCAAGCATGTAATGAGTTCCTAGTAAGAGCTCAGAGGTTAGCTGCCATGATGGTTCTTGACACATTATTATTATTATTGCTGTTACAAATTGCCACATCGTTTACTTGAATAGTACTTTGTTATTCTAGTAGTGCTACTGATTTCTTGGGACACAGGACAGAAAGGGCTGTTTGACTGTCATATAGTGTACACATAGAGTGATATGTATAGGGAATCTGATGGGGGTGGATTTGGTGAGTGAATATATACATGTCTATACATATGTACAGTTGGACAACTCTGATTAAGCATATATGTTCAGTAAAGCTCAGTTTGTTATTTATTTCTACAGCTCTATATTCTGTTATATTGTTCTGTGTGTTCTTCTGGATCCCTTTTGTCTACTTCTACTATGAAGAAAAGGATGATGATGACACTGGTAAATGCACTGTAAGTATCTTTATTTTAAAGGTCTCAATTTAGGAAAGAAAAAGATTATTTTCTCCTTTTTCATGGAATGACATGACTCTGAATTTGTTCTAGAACAGTGTTGTCTAATAGAAAAACAATGTTGGCTACATGTGAATTTCTGCATTTGCTAGTTGCCACATTAAAATAAGTAAAAAGAGCCGGGATCGGTGGCTCAGCCTATAACCCTGTGCCTTTGGGAGGCTGAGGTGAGTGGATTGCCTGAGCCCGCGGGTTCGGGACCCGCCTGGGCAGCGAGACCTCATCTCTACAATAAATCAAAAAATCAGGTGGGCATGGTAGCACATGCCTGTAATTCCGGCTACTTGGAAGACTGAGGCGGAAGGATCGCCGGAGCCCAGCAGGTCGAGGCTGCGGTGGCCGGGAGCGGCCACTGCACTCCAGTCTGGGCGACAGAGTGAGACTCCAACTCAAAAAAAAATAATAATAATAATAAGTAAAAAGAAATTCTTGACATTTATTTTAATTATACATTGTATTTAACATATCCTGAATATCATAATTTTAAATATAGTCAAATATATTATTAGTGAGATCTTAAAATTCTTTTTTTCACATGAAATCATTACAATTTAGGTTGGATTTTACATTTAAGATAGACTTAATTCAAACAAGCCACATTTCAAGGGCTCAGTAACTGTATGACTTGTAATGTGCTCCAGATAGTGCAATTTTAGTACAAGGATACTACCAGGTATTAAAGTGAATAATGTAGGCTTTTTAGGCTATGTGGGGAAAAAAACAACATAGTAGGAGTAAATGTCTTGTTTTATTGAGTATAGGAATTTGTTTTATACCTTGTTTATGTTTTGTACTTAAATACAAAAATAAATATATTTACTCAAAAGCCAGCATCCTGGTTAATCATGCCCTTAAGAGCATTTGAATTCAGATCAGTAGCAAGTAATTTAATAGTATTGCAAATGACTCTTAGAGTGAATCATTGCAGTGTGTTAGAGAAAAAAAATGTGATGGCGAAATATTTATAAAGAGAGTAAGAATTATTCTTTGTAGATATTATGTAACTCTATATTTGGAAGCACAAGATATGTAAAGTAAATAACTGGTTACAAACTTAATAAAATTCACTGAGATTGATGCAGTCCCTGGTCATGTCCTCTAACGCGATCTTGCCCCACCCTTCAGTTGATCTTAGGGTCCTCTTTACCTTTTCTTTAGGTTTTTTCCTAAAGAGTACCTTACCTCTTTTGTAAACAAGAGCTTACCATAGAAAACATGAATTTAAATTTTAATAGGTGATTTTTAGAGACTTAATTAGTCTGAGAGGACAAATTGATATTGTTTCTGACTGATTGATTGAAAATGAGATTGCTATTAATTTTTTTATCCATGTTCACAGTGTCCAGTTTGTTTTTGTTTTTTTTTATGGTTGTTTTAAAGCCTTCTTTGGATTATGTCACAGGCACCAAGGAAAGCATGGCCTTTAAATTCCCAAATTCTTAGTTTCAAGTTCTTGTTTAGTCACTTAGGACATATGTGACATAGGGCAAATTATTTAACCTCTCTGAACCCAAGTTTCCTTATCTCTAAGAAGGAATGAGAGCATGTATCTTAGAGTTATTATGAGAATCAAGTGAGAACATATGTAAAACAATGCCTGGCTTGATAAATATAAAGTATATATTACAGTATATAAGTATATACACACAAATATGTATAAGCATATACTTATATATACTTATATGTTTGTATATGTATTGACATATGTAGCTATGCATATGCATATAAAATATGTATTTTATATATAATACACATATATACATATATTTACAAGCATGTATTTTAAGTGCTTATTATTGTTATAAACCACTTTGATGAATTCAGTTTGGGGCATTAGAGATTCTGACTGCTCTCTGTTTTGAGGACTATTTTATTAATATCCTGGTAACTTTTCTAAAGATGCTTACTGAAGAATTGACTATGCTTTAGGGTGGATGGTTTCCACAAGGACCTAACCATTGACAAGATTTTAAAATCTCATGTATTTTCCAGAGATACTTAAGATGTGACTTTTTCTGTAAATTTTAAGGACTTTTTCTGCAAGCAAAAATTTACATTGTTAACTATAAATGTGTATTTGATATGAAGGTACTGTTACACTTTTGCAAGAATCTTTTATATTTCAAATGACTTGCTAAATGGTATACTTTTTTCCCCTTGGCATCTAGCAAATTAAAACAGCACTCAAGTATACGCTGGGATTTGCAGTGGTTTGTGCACTTCTTCTTTTAGTTGGGTAAGTGTTGACTTTTTGTTTTCATCAGAATAGAATTACTTGAATAATGGTAGTAAAAGGCCCATTCAGAAAAATCTAGGTAAGAAAGAACAAAATGTGGAAAAAAGAACAAACCACCTTTTTTGTATCACCACTGAGCAGTAGCCACGATTTCATATTTTTTTGCCTGTGTTGTTAATCTAGACATATTTTACAAGGGGGACCCCCCAAAAAGGAATTTATTTATGAAAAATGATGTATTCTTTCATGTTTACACCACAGTCACCTTCAAAGTACTCTCTGTCTGATGTAATACGCTTATCAAGATGCTTTTTCTACTACTCAAAACAGTTTTTGAACTTGTCAATTTTCGTGCTTTTTAGTGCTTCTGCCATTTTTTGTTTCATCTCTTCCACATCGGTAAAACATTTTTTTTTCATATGAAGAAATGAAACAAAAGTCGCTTGGGGTAAGATCAGGTGAATAGGAAGAGTGGGGTATGGGGATTATGCCATTTTTTGGTCAAGAGCTGCTGGACATCCAGCGTGGTGTGGGCAGGTTACTCATGTAAATCACCCATCATGAAATGGGCAAACACATTGAAAGAATCTCAAAAAAACCCAATTCACTGAAGCCAAACATAATCTCTCACAGCACTAGCTGGTACACTGACGCCGATCAGTTTCTAGAACATTTACGGAGCAGGGGAAGCCTATACTACAAGGGGCTCACTCTCCAAAAAATAATTCCAGGGTTTTTTTTGGGTTTTTTTGAGGTCTTCCCTTATATATGCTTGACTGCATGCAGAATGCCCTCCATTCTTGGATGTACCCTAAATGTTTTAGTTTTTATGCACATGTGATGATATTTTATCTATTTCTTGGTAATCTACTTATTTACATACTGTGGGTATCTCTTCAGGATAGGAAATGTAGAGCCATCAGTTTTGTCTGTATTGCATTCTCTTCTTTAGATGCAACAATGTAGTTTACCATTCTTCTAGTGATGACCTTAGATGTTCATGATGTTTTCAGTTTTCTCATTATCAACAACACTCTGATGAAATCCTTGTCTGTGCATTTTTTTAAGATTTGGCTCATCCAAATTTTTTCATCTTAAGTTTTTTTTTGTTGTTTTTTTTTTTGAGTTGGAGTCTCACTCTGTCGCCCAGACTGGAGTGCAGTGGCCGCTCCCGGCCACCGCAGCCTCGACCTGCTGGGCTCCGGTGATCCTTCCACCTCAGCCTTCCAAGTAGCCGGAATTACAGGTGCGCACTGCCACGCCCAGCTGATTTTTTGATTTATTGTAGAGGTTAGGTCTCGCTGCCCAGGCGGGTCTCGAACCCGCAGGCTCAGGCAATCCACTCACCTCAGCCTCCCAAAGGTGCGGGATTACAGGCTGAGCCCGGCTGCTTAAGTTTTATACTGATATCAGTAGAATTTGGCATATCTATTTATACATCTAAAACTTATCCTTGCTTATGGAAGACAATTTATCTTTGTTAAAAATAGGTCTTGATTCTTTTAACTTTTATGTTAGGAAATATATCAAGTGCTAATGAAGTTTTTAAAATGTGGAATACAACAGAAAAGTAAAATGTTTAAATATAATTTTAAAAATCTACAGGCTAGTATCTCTGATGAACATAGATGCAGAAATTCTCAACAAAAGCTTAGTAAACCGAATCCAATAGCACATCAAAAAAATAATTACCATGATCAAGTAAGTTTCATTCTAGGTATGCAAAGTTGACTCAACATTCACAATTCAAAAAACATGATCCCCTACATAAATTGAATTAGAAACAAAAATCATATACTCATTTCAGTGGACACACAAAAAAGCATTTGATAAAATTCAGCATTCCTTCATGCTAAACTTTATTTACTCTAAGCTAAATAAACAAAGAGGAAACATACCTCATTATAATAAAAACCACATCTGACAAACCCTTAGCCAATATCATACTGAATGGAGAAAAGTTAAGACGTTCCCCAGATCTGGAACAAGGCAAAGATGTACACTTACACCACTCCTATTCAACATAGTACTAGAAGTTCTAGCCTGAGCAATCAGGCAAGAGAAAGAAATATGGGATATCCAAATTGGAAAAGAAGAAGTGAAGCTATCTATGCTTGCTGATGAGATGATCTTATATCTAGAAAATTCTAACAACTCCTCCAAAAGATTCCTGAACTTGACAAACAAATTCAGTAAGGTCTCCGGTTACAAAATGAGAAAACACAAATCAGTAACACTGCTGTGTACCAATAGTAACCAAGCTGAGAATCAAATAACTCAATCCCGTTTACAATACCTGACAAAAAAATTAAATGCTTAGGAGGTAAAAGATCCCTGCAAGGAGAAACACTGAGGAAAGAAGTTGTAGAGGACACCAACAAATGGAAAAACAACCCAGGCCTAATAGATTGGAAGAATCAATATTGAGATTCAACTCAATCCCTGTCAAACTACCAATATTATTTTTCACAAAATTAGAGAAAACAATCATGAAATTCATAAATTCATATGGAACCCCCCCAAAAAGGCCCAAGTGGCCAGAGCAATCCTAAGAAAAAAAGAACAAAGCTGGAGGCATCAGATTACCCTACCTCAGATTATACTGCAAATCTATTTTAATGAAAACATCATGGTACTGGCACGAGAACAGACACGTAGACAGTGGAACAAAATAGAGAATTCAGAATGAAACCCAAATACCTACAACCAACTGATCTTTGACAAAGCAGACTGAAGCATACACTGGGGAAAGGATACTCTATTCAATAAATGGTGTTGAAAAAATTGAATAGCCTCATACAAAAGAATGAAACTGGATCCCTGTGTCTCACAATGTATAAAAATTAACTCAAGATGGATTAAAGACTTAAGTGTCAGATGTGAACCATAAAAACCCTAGAAGAAAACCTAGGTACAATTCTTCTGGACATTGGTCTAGGCAAAGAATTTATAGCTAAGACCCCAAAAGCAAATGCAATAAAAATAAATCAGTGGGACTTGTTTAACAAAAAAGCTTCTGTATAGCAAAAGAAATAATCAACAGAGTAAAGAGGCAATCTGCAGAATGGGAGAAAATATTTGTAAATTATACATCAAACAAAAGACTAATATCCAGACTCTACAAGGAACTCAAATCAACAAGGAAAAAAAAAATTAAAAAGTGGGCCAATGACATGAATATCTCTCAAAAGAAGATATGCAAATGACCAACAAATCTGTGGGGGAAAAATGCTCAACATCACTAGTCATCAGATTAAAACCACAATGATATACCACCTTACACTAGTCAGAATGGCCATTAAAAAAAAATAGTACTCATAGTACTCACAGATGTTGGCGCTGAAGCAGTGAAAAAGAATACTTATATACTGTTGGTGGGAGTGCAAATTAGTGCAGCCTCTATGGAAATTGGTATAGAGATTTCTCAACTAAAAATAGATCTACCATTCAATCCAGCAATCCCATGACTTTGTATCTACCCAGGGGAACAGAGGACATTATCCAGAAAGGACATCTGCACTTGCATGTTTATCACAGCATTATTCACAATTGCAAAGATGTGGACTCAGCCGTCAACTGACCAGTGGATAATGAAAATGTTATATATATATATATATATATATATATGTATGAGGGGGGACTCTCAAAAGCCAGAATTTATTTTTTAAAAATTGTGTATTTTTACATGTTTAAACTTCAGTCACCTTCAGAGTACTCTTTGTTTGATGCAATACACCTGTCGAGACCCTTTTTCCACTACTCAAAATGGTTTTTGAACTCATTAGTTTTGTTGTCTTTTAGTGCTTCTGCTTTTTTTTTTTTTTCTTCTCTTCTACATCGGCAAAATGTTTCCCTGTGAAGACTTTTTTCATTTGCGGAAACAAACAAGTTGTTGGGGTGAGATCAGGTGAATAGGAAGGTCATGCCATTTTTGGTCAAAAATTGCTGAACACTCAGCATGGTGTGGGCAGGTTGTTCATGAAAGAATCTCCCAAAAAATTCGCTGAAGCCGAACGCAGCCTCTTTCAACAATGTTTACTGGTACACTGAAGCTGATGGGTTCCCAGAACACTTACCTAGTGGGAGAAACCTGTACTATAATGGGCCCACCCTCCAAAAAATAATTCTGGGTTTTTTGGGTCCCCCTTCATACATATATACCATGGAATACTATTCAGCCATAAAAAAGTATGAAATAATATCTTTTGCATCAACGTGGATGGAATTGGAGACCATTATCCTAAGTGAAGTAATGCAGGAACAGAAAGCTGAATACCGCATGTCCTCATTTATAAGTGGGAGCTAAGCTAAGGGTCTGCAAAGGCACAGAGAATGGTATACTGACCATTGGCATCGCAGAAAGGAAAATGAGGGAAGAGGAGAGAGGGATGAAAACATCTCTTCTCAGGTACAGTGTGTAACTAGTGGAGGTGACAGCTACGCCAAAGCTCAGACTTTTTCACCACTATGCAGTGTATCAGTGTAACCAAAAACCATTTGTACCTTTAATGCTATTGAAATAAAGAAATATATTTCTGTTTATAATTTAGTCTCACAAATTTCAATAAATAACTTCCACTGAAAATTATCGAATAAAGTTTACTTATTACATGTAGTTCGTAATGAGAATAAAATTGTTCAGTAACTTTTTGTAGTTCCAGGAGCTCTTAGAATGCAAGTGTTTTATAGTCAAGTCATATTTCCAATTCCCTTTGCCTGCCTTGATGTGTCATGAAAAAGAGTATTTTTTGAAAGGGCATTTTTTTTTAAGTGGCTTTGATATTTATTTTAGCTACTGAATATGTTTTTAAAAGTTTTTTTTGACTTTTTAAAGAAAACTAAATCTATGATGTTAATTTGCTTTGTTAATGTGGAGGTCTCTTTCTCTAAACCTAGAACAGGAATTCATAAACTTTTCCTGAAGGGCAAATAGGAAGTATTTTAGGTTCATGGTTTATATGGTCTCTGTGGCTCAACTCTCCTCTTGTAGCACTGATGTACATAGAAAGTATATAAGCCAAAGAACACGACTGTGTTCTAATAAAACTTTATTTGCAAACACAGGCAGCCAGCTAGTTTTGTTTGTTTGTTTTTGCCAACTCCTGGTTTAGAACATGACTGGGAGCCATCAATACTACTACAAATGATTGCAGCAGTCAGAATAAAAGAATAACAAATTAAAGACCAGTTGTGTTTTGGTTAACCAGGACAATGTTCTTCTCATTACCATATGTAAATTTTTGGATGAGGTATACATTTAGGTTAAATGATGGACTACATTTCTTGAAATTATTTTGAAAGTGGCATGCTTTAAGTTTCTTTTAAGTGATATATATTTGCTAATAAAACAGTAAAAATGATGGCAAAGATGTGGGCTAGGTGTAGCTAATTCATGTAGCTTATATGTTTTGGGGACACTTGTGTGTTGTTTACTATGCTACGTCTTGGGACTCAAGATGGAGGCTCATGGTCTCAGTCTTCAGGCTCACACTGGGGAGACGTGTGGAAAAAAAAGAAAAGGAATTTTGAATTACAATGTTTAAGTGCTTCAACAAGAAAAATATGCCAGGTGTTGATGGTGGAAGAGCAAATTCTTACTCCACCTTGTGGAGTTGAGAAAGCTGAGAGGAAGTAATACTTGAATTGAGGTTTGAAGGAGTGGGAATTGGTCAGCCAACTTGATAAAGGAAACAGATGAATAGCATGTATAATATAGTAGTAGGCTATATTAGTCTATGATCAAGGTGCTGGCAAGTTTGTTTTCTGGTGAGGGCTCTCTTCTTGGCTTGTAGATGGCTGCTTTCTTGCTGTGTCACATGGCTTTTTCTCTGTACTTGCATGGAGTGGGGAGGGGAGAGAGTGAGTGAGCACAGGTGCTCTCTTTTATCTCTTTCTCTTATAAGGATACCAACCCCATGGGATTAGGGCCCCACCCTTTATGACCTCATTTAACCTTAATTATCTCCCTGAAGGACATATATCCAAATACCATCACGTTGGGGGTTAGGGCTTACATGTGAATTTTGTGGAGGACACAATTCAGTCCATAAAATATATTAATTGGGAGGCTGAAGTTAGCAGGAGTGTTTGAAGAACAACATAAAAAGTATAACGTGATTTTAACCTCCCTCCCCTCAAAAACAAAAAATAGAATGTGCTGTTTAAGTGTTCATGTGGGCAAGTGACAGGATATGCGGTTAGCTGGGGGGTAGACTCTGGGTCCTGCATGAAGTATTTAGGAAATTTTGAGTTTGTTCCACTGAGCAGTTGGAAGACGGAGAAGACATATACATATTTACATGTGTGAATGCATTAAAGTAAATATATATGACTTTGCTGTAAGAGTTACTTACAGCCCTGTGAGGGATGTATGGAAAAGAGGTTTGGGGGGAAAACTGGTATATAAATAGTAGGTTGGAAGATCAGTATGGTAACCATTGAATGAGTTCAAGTGTGAGAGATGAACATTGGAACTAGAGTGGTTACAAAGAGAGCCACTAGCAAGAAGCAAATAAGCTTTTTGGGAGATAAATATGACTTGACTTGGTGACTGAGTGTAGGAAGTGAAAATCTTATTTTCAGTTCTGCTTAATTCATCATTTCATTTTCATACCCCCTGAAATTCATTAGCTTTTTCTTTGTCTCTTCCTGAAGAGATAATCTGTATTAAGCTAATTCAGTGAGTCAGGCTGAGTATAAAATATTTTTAGTGATCAATTTTTCAGTTTTATTATTTCCAAGGGCATGAGGGAAAATCATAATCTTCCTAGGCTCTAGTTCTTACTTTGATTTAGTACTGTCTGTCTTTGGAAGCTGAGGTGCTCTGTATTCATTTGCTGAGAAGGACTGAGATTTTAAAAGTACCTGTACCTTTTTACCACACAAATCCTATTATATTTTAACTTTAATTACTTTAGTGTTGTCACCATTCGTAAATGCCTGATACTCTAATTAACTGCTGCCTGTGTCTTAAAACTGGCATATCTGGCCAGGTGTGGTGGCTCAAGCCTGTCCAGTACTTTAGGAGGCTGAGGTGAGAGGTTTGCCTGAGCCCACGGGTTGGAGAACAGCCTGCGCAACTTGGCGAGACCTCACTTCTACAATAAATCAAAAAATTATCTGGGCGTGGTAGTGTGCACCCGTAGTTCCAGCTACTTGGAAGGCTGAGGCGGAAGGATCCCCGGAGCCCAGCAGGTCGAGGCTGCGGTGGCCGGGAGTGGCCACTGCACTCCAGTCTGGGCGGCAGTGAGACTCCAACTAAAAAAAAAGTCTTTAAATATTATGAACATATATAGTTGTAACTGTTTTGAGTTCTGCTTCTGAATGCTTTCTTAGTTTATATGAAAATATTTTAGGTCTGATTCTTAGATTATAAAATTCTGCTGATAAAGTTCTTTAGGAACCTGCTTTGAGTTTAAGCTTTTTAGTTTATACCTAAGTAACAGTTAGTTCTCACCTGTTATCTCCTAAAGGATTTTTTCAAAATAAGTATTTTCCTGAAGTCATTCTGATAGTAGTTTGGGCTACTTATTTATTTATTTAAGTTTTAGGTTTTTTTCGGTTCCCTCTGGTATTATTACTCTTTGTTGAATATTTGAACTGCTAGAAACTCAGCTTAGGAGTTGAGTGTGAAAGTATTGTCAAGAACAAGGATGCATTGATTTTCTTTTGCTGTAATATAAATGTCTTTGACTACCTTAAACTGACACATTGAGTTTTATGATATTGATTATTGTGTGAATATATATTTGATATTTGAATATATATCTATTTTAATAGCTTTATAGATGTATTTTGTTACATATAAATTTTTGTTTTCTTTTGCTCACAAATTGGTTATTGCCAATGAACAGGTTCAAAACATACTTTCTGGGATATCTAGAATAAACTCTGTCCAAATAAAATAGAGGAATATTGCATAGGTAGTTTTTTCTTGCTTAGTTTATGTTTTTGTTATTAATATTAAATAAGTTAATATTATAGGTATAATATGTACAGAAGTTATACTTTTATTTTTTTATTCCACTTCACTACTGGGGCAACAAATAATGGACGTTTTACATTTATTGCTCTATGCCTGTGAGTAATCCCTTTTTTTTCTGAAGAGGGTGAGAAATAAGTCTCCAAGATTAAGAAGAATATAATAAAAAGAAGTCAATGTGAATAGTTAGAAATTTAAGTGTCCTCTTTACAGCTCTACCCAGTCATCTTTTAAGAATCATCAACAGTACTAACAAGCAAAGGTTTTTAAAATTGAAAAGAAAAATTTATTATAATTACTTTGTTTTACTTGAAACATTATCAGAGCAATGCTATTGAATATGCTAAATATGCTATTGAACTCCTTCAGTATATCCTCTTTACAGAAGAGACTAGATCTTACTGCTTTGCTTACAATTCAAATTAAATTGAGAGGGAGGTAGTTCTTTTTTACTTTACTGTCTATCTCTCCACATACCCAGCCCTTCACCTCAATCTCTTGATTAGCTTCTTGTTTATTGATACAGGCCAGATAATAAAGTGACTATTTATGTGTCTGTTTCCCATTTTCTCTCAGTCTAAGCTGCTAGAGCAAGTCCTGGGAAGCTTGTCTCTGTTATTTCTACAGTTCCCCTTCAGCTGTCTATTGAAAAACAAATAGAAACCACTTTCATTGTGTCTATGGGGTAGAATCTTGAAAGATACAGAAAACACTAAGAAGAAAGTGAAAATCGCCCTGTTCCCACATTGAGATATTTACTGTTTTTTTCTGATTTTTTTAAGCTATTCCTTTCTATGTGCATACATATATTGAAATAATTGCATATATTTATATTCTGTTCTACTGATTGAGCACAGAGGTTCTTAACCATTTTTTGGTGCCATGGACTATTCTGACAATTTTAAACCTATTTTCCCTTCTCAAAAACAATATTTATTTTTTATTTTGTTTTTACCAGCTTTATTAAGGTATGATGACAAATAAATCGAAATATTTTAAATATAAAAAATAAGATATATAGAATTACAAAGGAAATGAATTTTACTGAATGCAGTCATAACACTATTAAAATAAATTTGTAATAAAGTAAATGCATAAAATAAGCAACACCTCATACCCCCCTGTGCCTATTGCAGATGTGACTTATTAATTGCTTTGAGGAGAAATTAATCTTTGTTTTAAAAAAAAATTACAAAAAATTTAGTTTCAGATCACTTTTATTTAGCCTTTTATCTTTTAAAGCCATTAAAAGTTTCATTTTCTTCTTTGTAGTGCTTTTGTTCCACTGAATGTTCCCAATAACAAAAATTCTACAGAATGGGAAAAAGTAAAATTCCTTTTTGAAGAACTTGGAAGTAGTCGTAAGTATTGGTGTTTAAAAAAAAAAAAATAGTCATACATATTTCCTGATCCTTGGGACTTTAAAAAGTAGTCTATTTTTATTTGTTAGGTATTTAACCCTACAGTTTCTCACTTGTTAAATGTATGCTTAACAAATTAGGAGTGTTGTTAAGGCTTACTTCTAGCCATCTAGCTGTTAGGTAGCTGGTTTTATAAAATTATGTTGAAAAGAAAATTTAATCTTTTCTTCAAATTATTTTAACAGTGGTCTTATGATTTCCTTGTGATCTTTAATTCACTTAGGGACATATGGAATAATATGTTAGAGAAATGTACGGGATGTATTGATTTTTATTTTTAATTAATAAAAGATAACCTTATGTTTGAGATTATATAATCTTTTATGCAGAATATAAATTACAGAGGTTTCATATGAATTAAGTTATGTTTTATTATTAACTCTGCGAAACATTTTAGCATTGATTTTCAGTTTCCATGTGACCTAGGTCTTAAAAAAAAATAGGTAGGTTGAGGGAGTTAAGTTTAGAAAGTTCCTTAATCATTGAAAAAATGACTTTGAGACTAAAAAGTGATATTAAATAAGAATGTGCATCATATTACACAAAATTTCATATCCATTTAAACATAGTAACTTTATTTGTACTTATTTGCATAAACATTTTGCTGAAAGACTTTCTTGCTTTTGTAAATATTCTTTCTAATAGGTACTGTGCCTTCTTTGATCAACACTTTTTTTTTAAAATTCAGATACAGTATTACATGATTTAATTAAGTCCTGGAGTCTGCTGTACAAGTTCTTAGTTTTCTTGCTTTACACTTGGGACTTTTTGTTGTAGATTGTGGTCCCTTAATATCTTGCTGTTACAGCAAGAATAAAGGTAGCAAGGCCTGGCATCCAGTGGCATTGAGTTTTCAGGATTTTATGCACCCTGATTCTCTTGCCAAGAAATAAATTGCTGCTTTTCTTGCAATTAACTTTTTCAAGTCTCTTGAGTAACACATTAATTTATAATTTGAGTATAGTATAATTTGAATCAGTGTTTCAATAGGTAACATTATTCTGATTTTTGTGATCTCATTCTCTTTAGTCTTTTGTCTTAGATCTTAAGCACCATATTCTAGAGTACATTTCACTTACCACTGTAAATCAGGTGTCCTTTAAGTCCATAACAGTCACCCAGCTGTTCTTAATTTTTATTCTTGTCATTCTCCCCACCTTCCTGCACTTTTCAGACATCAAGGCTTTTTAGTCTTTTCCAGATACACACTTTACATATAGTGGACTACATAGCTCTTGTGCATACATGTATACAATCAGTGTAACTGATTGTAGTCAAAGTATAGAATACATCTGTCACTCCAGAAGTTTTTTCAGTATGCATGTTCAGTTAATGATAACAGCGGTCCCACTATATATTTATTTTGCTTTTTCTGAATATCATAAATGAAATTTAATTCCATTTATTATGGTTCTTTTTTGTATTTGTCTGGGGTCTTTCAGTAAATAATATTTTAAAATTCATTGTATAAGCTGTTAGTTCTTTTTTCTTGCAGCAGAATAATGCACTTCATGAATAGGCCACAACTCATTTATCAATACGATCTATTTATTATACCATAAAGATGTAGGTGGCCTGGTCATAGACCTTATCATATCAAGATAATTTTAGTATCTTTAGTAAATGATGTTTATTAATCATTTACTCAAATGGGAATAAGTAATATTGATCAATTTTGAATTATTCAGATGATTTTGACTATTAGTAATGTTAACTTTCTGGTTTGCTAAATATATTAGCATAATACTTTATCATTTCTGAGATACATAATTTTTCATATTCTTATCTCTTTTTGGGATGTATAAGTGATGGTACGTTAAAATTATTATCAGCCAGATGCCAGACTTTAGTTGTATGAACATCTGTTGATACTTCTGGTAAGATCAAGAAAGTAACAGCATCAAAATGTCTTTGATTTGATAAAAAATATATTTTTAAAAATTAAGGCTTGAAAATTTGCATAATTTGTGAATTTGTTAATAATATGCTCTCAATTATATGTATTATATAAAACTGAAACATGCATTTTAAGAAGATATATCATTATAATTTTATTAGTATGCATAAAAGATTAATGTTAACACATTAAATTAATCAAAACTTTGTATCTGGTTCTACAGGACCTGTATTTAAACTAGATCAATACAAGCCCGATTGGCCCTGTATACAAACTGGAAAAATTATTGCTCCTACTTAAGAATATTCCAGTTTGCAAAATATGTCGTTACATAATCTGATATAGTTATGTGAAAGTTTCACCTCATCCCTCATGCATTGTCCTTTTTTAAAATAATTTTCTCAATCTAGATTGTTCACTTAGTCTTCCCTTTTTTGATGTTATGTTTGAATCTATTTTCTATTTGTGTTTGCTTTTCTTTTTCTGCCAAGTGGTCAAGCTAGTCCCTTCATGTTAAAAAGGGAAATAAACTCTTTGAAGCCTTGCCTCTGCAGGGCTATTTCTCAGGGTTGCACTGAGAAAGCACAAGCTCTGATCACGTCTTGAGCATCTGATGTTTTACTGATCTCTTTTTAGGCCCAATAAATAGACGGTAATTTTCCTCTTAATTTTAAGAAGTAGAGGAAAGACAACCTTAGCCAGCCTGAAAGATCTTTTGCAAGTCAATTTGTGGAAAGCCCTTTGAAACTCTTTTTTCTACTTGCAGTGAGCACTTCAAGGACATGGGAGTATTTATGTGTTTTTATGGCTTTGGAATATATAAGATGCTCAGTTTCTTATATTTTATACTGACTTGCTGAATGTAAATGTTTGAATTGTGCATATTTGTACATTTTTAAGAGTTTTTCTTTCTTTACAGATGGCTTAGCTGCATTGTCCTTTTCTATTAGTTCTCTGACTTTGATTGGAATGTTGGCAGCTATAACTTACACAGTGAGTGTAATAATGATAATTTAGTAAAATTAAAGAATTGCCTAATAAAGCAATTTTTTAACCTAAGTAATCTGTTGAACTTAATTTTATTTTTCTTTTTAATATTTTAGTTATTTCTTCAGTTTTTCTTCAGTTTTTTTAACCTAAGTGAAAGATAAAGTTTTAATTATTATTCTCAATCCTTTTTTCTGTGTTTGTGAAATTTAATATTTAAGAATAAGTTTTATAGCTTGTGAACCTTGAAGGTAGTTATATATTATGTTATAACAGATATACTGGTTTATAAGCATGTTAGAACTCTGAACCATAGACCAATATCTGTTACTGATTCAGGAGATTTATCCTATTTGGGGATATAGGAATTGTAAAACCAAGTATTCCATATAAACTGCTGTGTCTTTTATTTTATTTTATTTTATTTTACCTTTCTTTAAGAGGTAAGATGTGAATTATAAATGACTGACTAAACATACTCACTGCTCTTAGAATCTTTTCTCCAATTAGAAAAGCCAGTAGTAAATGTTTCTCCTTATCTACCCCTGAGAGTTGTGTAAGAAACTTTATAATTATCACCCTAGAACCCTTCAGATTAATGAATTTTATATTTAAAGACCTCTTAATTCTTGCAAAGATGGAAAATACGGTTACAAAAGAAATATTTTTGGATTTTTTTTTCTCCACATGTCTTCCTTTAGACATAAAGAAATGAGCTACTAGTGTAACAGCAGAATCTAGTTTTGTTACATGGTCATTCATGTGCCATAAAGTCTGATAAAAGATGCCTAAAAGACATGCATTTTAATATCTCACAAGTGCTTATTTGGGTACTCACTTTTATTATTCATTGCCATTTTTGTATTTTTATTTGTTATCACATAAGGAATTTGCCATCTAATATTAGTGGGTGATTATCTTACTGTCTCATAGAATGTATGTACAACATGTTAGTAGTTTTTTAAAAAACAGCAACAAATTAAGAACAAATTGGGCATTAGGCCTGGACTCTCACTGCTATTCTGTGATTGATTTGTTATGCTGATCTTGGGTTTGTCTTTTAACTGTCCTGAGTCAGTGTTAATTGGGAATAGAAAATGCCTCACAGAGATTTTTGAAGGTCAGATGATGGTGTTTGTAAAAGTGCTTTGAAATGGTAGGGAAATGAGGATATAGCAGTCAATACACAATTAGGAGGAGCAAAGGAAAAAGAAATCCAGTAGGTATGTCAGTATCAGGAGCTACCAAGGGCCTGGAATTTTACCCTACTGGCTACTTGCCGGTTTTGTAGATGGTGGCTGAAAATGTAAGACTTCTGTGTCAGGGAAAATAACTTTATTACCCATAGGATCAGTATTCTCTTATGTTAGTTCCCTGGCTTCCTGGTTCCCACAGAACCTGGAGAAGAGAAGCAAATAAGGCCTGCACAAAGTAGTGCACTACAAGAGAAGCCTCTCATGATGGCAAGCACTTGTCCTTTGTTTCAGAGGACAGTGCCGTCTGCATCTACCAAGACTGTTGGCTGTACTAATGTCTTTGAAAAGACAGCACAGGAAATCAAAGGGCCATTGGTTCCTGCCCTGCAAAATTGCAGAAATGAAAGGTGCATGGAGACTTGTCTCCTTGGTGGTCAAGGGATGGGAGCTGTGAAGGAAGGTAAGGCAGCGTGAGGAATAGACAAGTGGAAGCTGACACTACATCCAGGCAGGAGCAGCATCTCCAGCATCTACACAGAAACCTGAATGGAGGGAAGCAAGCCACGAGGGGCATGTGCATGCATACACCCTAAGTGTGCACACATGTGGTGTTCAGTCCTAGCGATAGGCGGAGCCATTGTGGCTAGAGCTCAGCTCACAAGGGGCAAGGCAAGGGAGGCAAGAGGCCATTGGCAGGTGGAGCCTTACAGACCGTGGTGAGGGTTTTGAATTCCATTCTGATTGTGATCAGACGCTATGGGAAGGTTTTAAATGGAAAAGATAACGGTATCTGACAAACATTTTGGCAGTATTGCTCTGGTGGCTCTGAATTAGATAAGCTATGAGGGTGGTGAGGGGAAGTGGAAAAATGAGTAAACTTATTAAAATTATTGGAAGGAGTGCTCAGTAGGAACTATATTATGGTCAAGATAAATATTTTAAACAAACATTTTAGATTGTTCCAGTAGAAACTTTGAAAGTTATCATTTAAGGCCGGACTCGGTGGCTCCGCTTGTAATCCCAGCACTTTGGGAGGCCGAAGCGAGAGGATTGCCTGAGCCCACGGGTTCAAGACTCACCCAGGCAACTTGGCGAGACCTCGTCTCTACAATAAATAAAAAATTAGCCAGGCGTGGTAGCGTGCGTCTGTAGTTCTGGCTACTTGGAAGGCTGAGGTGGAAGGATCGCTGGAGCCCAGCAGGTTGAGGCTGCAATGGCCGGGAGCATGCCATTGCCCTCAAGTCTGGGTAACAGAGTGAGACTCCAACTCAAAAAAAAAAAAAGAAAATTATCATTTAAATAAATCTAATATAATAATCATGCAGAATTAGTTAAGGTAGCCTTAGAAGAGCTTTACTTTCTAGAGCTGCAGTCCCAACCTTTTTGGCATCAGGAATCGGTTTTATGGAAGACAATTTTTCCACAGACCAGGGTAGGTGAACTGGGGTGGAGATGTGTAGTCAAGACCAATTTGTATTTGCAGCCACTCCCCAGCACTAACATCACTGCCTCAGTTCCACCTCAATCATTAGGCATTAGATGCTTATAAGGATTATACAAACTAGATTTCTCACATGCACAGTTCACAATAGGCTTCACACTCCTATGAGAATCTAATGTCACCACTGATCTGACAGGAGGTGGAGTTCAGCTTGCTTGCTGCTAACCTCCTGCTGTGCAACCTGGCTTCTAACAGGCCACAGACAGGTACTGGCCTGTGGCCTATGGCCTGGGGGTTGGGGACTCCCATTCTAGAGAACAGCAGGTCTTCAGATAATGTTGTTTTGCTCAATGTTGTTTTGTTATAATGTTGATGAGAAAAAAACATCAAGTCCTGACCAGGGCCACTGTCTGTGTAGAGTTGGTAGGTTCTCCCCATGTCTTTGTGCTCCAATGTCTTCCCACAGCCCAGAGATGTGCACATTAGGTGAACTGATGTGTCTGTGTTGTCCCAGCGGGAGTGAATGTGTGTAAGTGTGTGTGTGAGAGGCCCATTCATGGGATGGTGTCCTGTCCTGGGCCTAGTTCCCATCGTGTGTCCTCAGCTGCTAGGATGAGATCTAGTTGCCCATGATTCTAAACTAGAATAAACAGGTTGAAAAATGAATAAATACAAATTACTGTAAAATGAAAATTTGTCAAGTATATAAAAGGCAAATGCACAACAGTAAACAAGATACGAAGGTGTTCAATAAGCACAGCATGTTTGTAAGGGTTTCTGTTTGAACTTTGTGGTGCTGGAGGTTCCTTACAGTTTTCACTTTTCAGACATTTCTTTGATTTAACTGCCCCCAGCATGACTGCTGTCACTCATTGGTTCACCAAAACTTGGGTAATTATCTTACTTGTTTTTATTAAGACTTCTCAATATATATATAGAGCTTACATTTATTTCACTGTTTAGTATTGGAAACATTTAGGTCTTTATTTAGAAGGTTGGTGAAGTTTTTATGACTGGAAATATACCCTAATAACTTAACTCTTGTTTAGATCAATTAGCCTGTGGGAAAATTGGTTTTGTCATATATCATTTCACTTAAAGTCATAGTTGCCAAGAACCTATTGACAATGTTCAGTGAGGAATGACTATCCAGAGGGCTGGGCTGAAGGGCACTGATAAAACAGCCAAAGACCTTATCCCAAGATCGAGGCCAGGAGCCAGAACCACCTGGGGGTGTTGCTGCACAGGTAGGAGGGGCTGCCTAGGCCAGGGAGTGAGTCCAGTGTCACAGTGTGCTGAGGCCCATCTTCCCAGGATTAAGAGTGTTTTCTTTATGGCATGAGTAATAACATTTTGACAGTTGGGTGCAGAGGCTGAAGTGTGGCCTGCAAGGCCATGGGTCCCTTGACAGACTTTACTGTCTGCATTTCTTTATCTGTAAAGTGGGGTAACAATTTAGTAGTAAGTTTGTGAGGATTTACTTAATCTATCAAGTCTCAGAATCTGTTGACCACTCAAAAATAGTCATTATTGGCTTAAACAGTTGAATATTCACAGTTTCATATGGTTCAAATGAGTTCCCGCCTCTTTCTTCTCTCACTGAAAATAAACCAAGTGTAAACAGCATTTGTATCGTGACCAGGGAGAATGTGGATATCCCAAGTTGTGGAAGTCAGAGAGGTGGTCATGGTGGAATGGTGGTAAGTTGGGGTGGGAGAGCAAGGATAGATGTATAATGCTGCTTAATAACACTACAGGTGTGCTCAAAGCTCAGTAAGAGGACATTTTGCTACCAATCCGTGATTTGCTCAGATTTAATTCCTGCAGGGCATAGAGGAAGGGAGGATAGGTTAGCCAAAAGCCTGTTGAAGGTTCAGTGTGGTGTGTGCCATTGAGCCCCGGCCAGGAGGTGTGTGTGACTGAGCCCTGGCCATGAGTTATGTGTGGCTAAGCCCTGACCATGAGGTGTGTGCAACTGAGCTTCGACCATGAGATGTAAGCGGTTGGGACCTGACCATGAGATGTGTGTTGCTGAGCCCTGGTCATGAGGTATGTGCAGTTGAACCCTGGTCAGGAGGTGTATACAGTTTATCCTTGGCCATGAGGTGTGTGAAATTGATCCCTGGTCATGAGGCATGTATGACTGAGCCCTGGTCATGAGGTGTGTGTGGCTGAGCCTTGGCTATGGGGTGTGTGTGACTGAGCCCTGGCCATGAGGTGTGTGCAGTTAATACTTAGTCATGAGGTATGTGTGGCTGAGCCCTGGTCACGAGGCGTGTGTGGTTGAGTCCTGGCCATGAGGCATGTGCGACTGAGCCCTGGTCATGAAGTGTGCGCGGTTGAGCCCTGACCATGTGGCGTGTGTGACT